TCGCCACGCCTCGCCACGCCACGCGCCGCGCGCAGGAAGCGGGCGACGCCGAGCGCCCTCCGTGCAATCTCTTTGCACCGACGACGCGCTCTTGTTCTTGTGGCGATGACGAGACTCATTGTTACGATGTTCACACTCGACTGCCAATTCCACTGCTTTTCCAATCGAGGTTTGTTGAGGTTCATCGCTGTCAAGTTGTAACTATAAGTGGTCAGAATGATATTATGATGATGTTGATGCTTACTGATATTTTTTGTAATATATGTATCAAGTTGAAGTGTTTTTCTACGAGGATTAATTTAGCGTGTTAATTATATTTATATATTATTATATATTTAGATCGATTGCGTGAGGCGAGTGATTTGTTGAGTACATAAAACTTCCTTCTGTGTGGTTGGTTTCCTTGTGAATCTAGAACGAATACGATAATCTGTGTGAATATTGCTGCGCAAGTATTTCTTTTGTAAGCCAAAAGAAATTTATTGTAACAATTATATTGTACTGAAAATGCAGTCGTGGAGTGTACGTGCCTTCACCCGCATGTGAAGGTAAGGAGTTATTTACATTAGGCCCTCTCTGTGCAATAACATCCCTATATCTTGCTTATCCAGTATCACCACTAAAACATGGAGTGCGAGAAAGACATTATTTTTTTTTCAATCGTGAGTGTAGCCATTGCCCCCCTAGTTGAAAACGGACGTTGTTGTGAACGCCGCTGCGAGTGTTGTTGAGTCGATGATGCTGTGTTGCTACCAATAGGTTATAGTCTTCTTCCTCGTGAGGTGGGGGGAGCGCCGCGGGCCCGCGCGGGGTGCGCACCCGAGGGCCGCCCGACGCCCGGCGCCCGCCCGCGCGGCCTCGGACGGCTCTCGGCGGCCGCGTCCTAGGACGAGGGCGAGGGCCAAAGCCAAGGCCTAGGCGAGGGCACGCGCGAGACGCCCTAATCGCCCGCCCTCCGCCCACCGCGCAGCGCGCCCGCGCCTCGCTCTGTACCCGCTCACGTTTTGTAAGAACACAATAAACTGGTGATGGAATAATACGCTCGACGTTTTTATTTGTGTCTACTTCCTATACTTTCCCTTTTCCCTCCTATACCATTGTCTTCACATTTCAGAACCGAGATGTACAAAAGCAATACCGTATTTACGCAAATCTAATGCGCCATCGATTCTAATGCGCACTCCATATTGGAAACTTAAAATAACGAAAAAAGGGTGTGCATCGAATGTAATACTCATCAACAAAAAATAAAAGTTACGGTATTTAATTTAGATTTTTGCAATACAACAGTGGATTTATTTCATACATCAGTTCATAGAATTGAAAGTTTCCTAATAGCATGTGACATATTGTTAAAAAAGAAAATTATTGAGTATGAAATAAGGAAAGAACACATTCAAAATGAATTTATTAATAGAATAAATTACAAGCGTGAATCACCATTATACCTGATGGAACGCATTTGCACCCGAATCTAATCCACATTTGCGCACGGATTTGCGCAATCGATTCTAATGTGCATCACGATTTCGAGTACTGCATTTGTTCAAAAGAAGTTGCGCATTAGATTTGCATAAATACGGTACATTATATATAACCGAGTAGGTAAAGGAGTCTGTTGAGGTGGACATTCTGTAGAAAAATGAAACAAAATATCATATAAAAACATTGAAGAATGTAATTATTATTGAACTTTTAATCAAATTTAAGAAACAACAAACACGTAAACGAACATTGTACATTTACAATCCTTAAACTTTTTAACTGAAATTAAACCAAATGAGTCTTCTCGAACGCAACATTTTTAGGAAGCAGACTTCCCAAGCCGTCCAACGATCCCTCAACTATCTCTCTAGATGATATAAAGGCTTAGTTTCTACATATTACTCTTATGATGTACGTATCGATAAATCAAATCAATCACGTTTCTAGGGCAATATATGTTGATAGTACTTTACAAGATCAATATTATTAAAAAGTACAGTACATTATTTTAATTTACAGTTACGTTTTGATATAATTACATGGTACGATGGTCTTCATTGACCCATTGATTCTAAAAAGGAAATTAAAACATGGTAAACTCTTCTACATGATTTTTCTAGCACATTTTATGATTTACTTGTTTATCTTTAAATTCTGAACATGAATTAGGGAGATTTTCATTACACGTGATGGACAGCATTTCTTGTTTGTCTGGTGTTATTTGCATTTCTTTGCAGTACAATCTGAATAAATGTTAGTTATATACGAAGTAAGATAAGATAAATTTATTTGAACTGCAAATGGGCATAACCCGGTGGCAGATAATTCCATAAATAAGATAATACAGCTAACATGCAAATTAAATAATAATAATAATTATTACTACTATTATTAGTAGTAGTGGTATTGAAATAACATTACTAATAAAAATAATAATGATTTAAAACATTTAAAATTACCTTAAAAAAAGAAACATCATAATCAGACTTCGCTCTGAATTTTTGTTCAACTGCACTTCACTACACTTCACTTGACTACATTAACTATGACCATTTAATCACTTCCTACATTATATCTCTGTTCTACACCGCACGATACCTCACTTCACAATATATTACTGACGCATCGCACTATAACCTACTATAATGAGCTAATTCCCTCATTTATTTAGTAATACCCTAAATTAAAGTCCTAAACTATTGTACGCAACGAGGAAAGGGTTCAAAGGGTTTAAAGGCATTATTTAGGTTCAGATAGCAAATGATTGGAAAGTTGACAACAGTT